GTCTTTCTTAAGAAGGCAATAGAGGCTCCAATTGCCGAACCCCCGGAGCCTAGCAAACTCCGGGGCACCACTTACCGACGGCCTCTAGCCTCTCCCCGTCACCGATCACAGCCCAGACAAATCCCTACCCTAAAACCCAGTTATCGACACCACGGAGTCTTAATCGCTCCGGGGATCCTGGGAACAGAACCCAGTTATCGACACCACGGAGTCTGAACCACTCCGAGGATCCTGGGAACCGAGTTTTAGAGTCCTCCAACGAGGAAGGAAGCGGAGCTGTACCTGGGAAACTGTCCAGCCTGCACCGCGACCATCTCCGGTGTAAGTAAATAATCTTTTCAATCAACCATTACGCCTCCGTGACTGATTCTAGCTCGAGCGTATTACTCCACCCCGCGACTTTTCTCTGGCCCCGCGTGCCCGGGCTGCTGGCCACAGCCAGCGTGCACACAGACGGGCCCGGCTCGCGCCCGGCGAGGATGGGACCGGGAGCCGGCCTGCACACCCCACAGCACCCTGAGCCACCCACAGCAACTGCCTCCACCAGAGCTGATGGACAAAAAGTAGCTATACCCAGCACGTTACCCCACCCCACTCCTGCCAGGGGGGAGAGTCCACCATCCAGATCCTGGGGGAAAAGGCATCACATACGTAGTAGCTTCACGATCTATATCTCTGCATCACATGCTATGGAGAGTAACTTGCTGATCAATTCTCCAGTGGAGTTCAATGGGTCTTGGCAGAACAGTACATGATTTTCATTGTCTCTGTTCTGGAGAGATGTGGATAAGTGAAAGAAACTAAGTCAGTGACTGGCTGCTTAATGAGCTTGTCTCACTGGCTGCCCTGGCCTGGCCCTGGAGTGCCCTAAAAGGAAAATATTCTCAAGTGCTAGCCTGGTGCTAGCAGGCAATTGGCATCTCCCTGTGGGGCTCCAGGAATGGCCATCCTAATGGGCTAACACTTGCCAAATACAATTAAATGTGGCTAGTACTGAGTGGCTTGGTAAGTCCAGCTATGGGCACTGGGGACTCTCCGCTACTTGAGGGTCTGAAACAAGGTCCACAAGAGTCAGGGGAGGCCACAGAGGCAAGCGTGCCCAGAACCATGCCACTCCCCAATCCTGCCAGGAGAATCATATAGTGAGGAATCCCTTGGGATTCAGGCTGCTGGAGCAGGTGGACATGTGCTTCTTTACACCCATTATAATTGTGGGGTGAAATGCACCTGCAGTAGGGGACTCGTTGGACTTCCACTGGACGTCAGTGAGGGTGGGGTCCCTTACAGTGGTTGCAAAATTTCTCTTGAGGATGTTGTAATCATGTTTTATGAGTGAGGCTGGTGCTGCCTGGTTCTCTGCCTCCCTCTAGTGGCTATTCAACAAACAGATTTACAATGTTTTTTTTGCAACTTCACAGCTGGTGGACCTGGTCTTCTAGCCCTGGGAGCAGGGGTTGATACTTTGTAAATTTAGAGGACCAACTGTTTCAAGCTCAGGAGGCGACTCATCTGAGGTTTTTGTGATCATCTCACTCTTGGAATGACCATAATCCAGATTTTTATGCCCAGGAAAGTCTGGTACTTAGGTGGGAGGAAACACCGTATGACCGAGGCACGCGGGATAACTGGACAATAATTCTAGAACTGAAAACACCTAGATTAGGAGTTCTGGGGATTAGTCAGTAAGGTTTGGTCAGGCCAAAGTGCTTCTCTATTTTTTTACAGCAAGTCTTTAACCATTATGGTTTCAACAAAACTCTCTTCAATTTGTCCACATCCTTTCTGTAGTAGGGGGCTCAAAACTGAACACAGTACTCCAGATGTGGCCTCACCAGTGCTGAATAGAGGGGAAGAATCACTTTGCTTTATCTGGTGGCACCATTCCTGCTAATGCAGCCCAGTATGCTGTTAGCCTTCTTTGCAACAAGGGCACACTGTTGGTTTATATTCAGCATATTATCCACTGTGACCCCCAGGTCCTTTTCTGAAGAGTTGCTGTTTAGCCAGTCAGTCTCCAGCCTGTACTAGTACATAGGATTGTCCCATCCTAAATGCAGGATTAAATTGCATTTGCCCTTAGTGAACTTCATGAGATTTCTTTTGGTCCAATCCTCCAATTTGTTGAGATATCTCTGAATCCTAATTCTATCCTTCAGCGTATCTACTACTCCCCCTTGCTTGGTGTCATCTGCAAATTGCTGAGAGTGCACTACTTCCCACTTTCTAGGTCACTGATGAAGACATAGAACAAAACTGGCCCC